GAGAGCATAAGCCCGCCTGAACCCGTGCAGACATGGTGCAAGTTTTGGCATCCCCCGCGCTTGACCAAGCAAATGTTTCTCCGGACTGCCTGCTTAGCTTCAGATTCCCGAAGCTTTTATTCCGACAGCTCAGAGGTCTTGCCTCAAGTATTCTCAAATCAGTGGTTGCAAACACTGCAGCAGCTGACGGATCAAGGCAATGTGCACTGCAGCTCTTGTTCAAAGGAGCTTCGTCCCTGGTACCGAGAAACCAAGCCGCCTCCACCTATCGTTTCAGCTTGGGGCGTCTGGAGTTGATATGTTTTTCTGTTCTAGCAATGCCACCACGATGCTGTGCCTGCAGGCAGACACACTCGCATTTCGCCAGCAGCAATAATACCAATGTTGTCCTCATACTCAACGGGAGTTTCTGTTGTTGCTGTTGTTGTTGATGATGGTGGCCATAAGCTTGCAAGCCAATAGATCCAAAACTGAAAGCCTGAAGCTCCGTAATTTCAGTGCTTCAAAACCTTAACCTCTAGCCCACTCTCAGGTGCTTCTTGACAAACTGGCTGGAGCAGATCTGCGGACCCAGCTTCCCAAAGGCTCCTCGGAAGATTTGCTAGCATTACTCCTCCTCCTGCTCCTGCTGCTGCTGCTGCTGCCGCTGCCGCTGCTGCTACCGCTACTGCTATCGCTACTGCTGCTGCTACTACTGCTGCTGCTGCTACTTCTGCTGCTGCTACTACTGCTGCTGCTACTTCTGCTGATGCTGCTACTGCTGCTGCTACTTCTGCTGCTACTGCTGCTGCTACTGGCTGCAACTGCTGCCGCTGCTGGATTGTTTTGCCACATCTGGTCTCATGCACTCAAAGACAGGCGGCCAAGATGGTGTGGCCAGACTACAACCACACCGCGGCGGACGACCACACACGGAAGGCGCAAGAAGAGTTTGTGCAATTTCTGTTGGGGCAAGGTTGGTTGTGGGCGAGCCTTCTTGTCTAGGTTTTTCTACTGATGTGTTGTCTGGAAGGTGGCGTTCCTGCTTCAGTTGTCAAGCATCGCATGGTGGTTTTGTTGCTTTGACGGCGTGTACTGAAGGTCGGTGCTTGCAATGCCCCGAAGGTCCTCAGAACCTTCACGTTCTTCCGATACAAGCAGGGCGAACGGCTGGTCTGCTTCAAAGGCTGTTATCCCTCTAGCTGGGCAGACGCTGAAGCTTACACGCCAACGAACTGTGGCTGGGCTACCTTGAGATTTTTAGATGATGGGTTCATTTTAAGATGCATTTTGAGGAGGAATCCCCGATTCCGAGATCTCTGTCCACAGCTAGGCGATGTCAATGTGCGCGCAAACCTGCTGACGTTTTTCTTGCTCAACTTTGGCCTGGAGCTGGTCTTTTTGGTAGTGCCCCTGCTGCTGTCTTTCTGGGAGGTTCGGAAGGCCTGCGGCGAACGAGAGCGGGAAGCAATCAACGAAGTCCAAACTTACGCAAACCCTGCAAGCCCTTGTCCACTCTGCCCGTAGCCCTGAAAAAGTGCCGCCAGCCCAACCAGGAGTACTGGAAGGTGCAGCTTCGCCACCGGCAAGCTGCTTCCGATGATTCCTCCTCCGAAGAGGAGATGGCACCATACTCCTTCTTGCAGCTGGGCGTTGGGTTGAGTTGAAGGCGAAGTACGTGCAGGAGTACGAGCAGTCTCATCATCCTCAGCATGCTCATCGTCCTGCTCCTTATCCTCCTCCTACTCCTCCTCTTTTTCCTCGTCCTGCTCATCGTCCTAATCATTATCAAAATCATCTTCATCGTCGTCTTCGTCTTCGTCTTCATCATCGTCGTCATCATCATCATGCTAGGCGCAAGGGTTCGGGTTCCTGGGCTGTGCAGCTGTGGTTGTGGTCTTGAGCCAGCAAGGGTCCTAGCTTAGTTGTTGGCAGTCTTCGATGGAGATTCTGAGATGCGACCCTGAACTTTGTTTGCAAGCGCTAATTTCAGCCATGCGAGACGAACCCTATCCCCGACAGCAGCAAAGGCAGTGGGAGGCCAAGAAGTTCAAGTATGAGTTCAACTCCTGGGGCGGTGACAGGAGACGCGGTTAGTTTCCCTTTCCTTGCTTTTCGTTGCATGCAGGGAGTTTGCTTTCTGTAGCCTGGGATTTGTGTTTTCTCGTTTTTTGGCTTGCTGGTGGCCGGAAGGCCGATCTTGAGTGTAGTGTTGCACCGCCCTACCTGCTCGTTGCGAAGCGCGCTTGCGGAGGATCAACGATTTCCTGGATCTCGCCATCAGCTACTCTGTGGCTCTGACCGAACTTGAGTCTGCAGTGGGCCAGGATCGATCTTCGGGGTGCGAGGATCGAGCTCAAGTCTAGGACTTCCGTCCTGTCCATTCTCAGGCCCTTGATGTGAAAGGGTTGGCACCTGACATTCTCAATCTGCTGGCCTTAGCCCTATGACTGCACAGCCTTCAGCAAACACAACTTCCGCCGTCAGCCACATCTGCAAACAACTGGCAGTGGCACGCGGCTGCAAAAGCATTTCGAGAACTAAATTTTGCAGCAGCTTGCATCTTTATGTTGTGAGAAAGGCGCCCTGGTTGTGAACCGCAACATTTCTCAGGGGAATCAATAAGCCTCGAGTTTACAACGAGATGCAAGCCCTCCACCTTTGGGTGGGTGAGAAGTTCCTGAACTGAGCCGAGGGCTGACAGCTTGCGCGTTAGTCTTCCTTTCGATCCTTTCCGAGGGTTTTGGGGAAATGCACCATCGACAAACCACATACTTGCATACATGCTGGTAGCTGCTAATGTATGTACAAATGTACACATGTGTGCATCTACATGTGTGTGTGTGTGTACGGTATGCGCATATATGCATACATCGTAGATACCTACATCGCCTGCCTGCCTACCTACCTACCTACCTGCCTGCCTGCCTGCCTACCTACCTACCTACCTACCTACCTACCTACCGACCTACCTACATACATACATACATACATACATACCTACATACCTACATAACTACATACCTACATACACACATACCGACATAACGACATACCGACGTACATGCATATATGCATACACACCAACATACCCGCATGCCTACGTAGCTGCATACCTGCATACCTGCTTAGATGTGTACCTACATGCATGACGCTGCACGAACGTCAGAGTCCTGCAGTCCCTAAGAATCCTGATCCCAGGTGGTGGCCTGCTGGGGCTCAATCTGCCCGCTGTTGTTCTTCATGGCGCTCGTTTTTGTGAGCTTCTCTCTGCGGCTTCGCCTCTACAGGAGAGTCCTCTTTGCTGTGCTTGTCGCCGGTGCCATTTGTAGTGTGCACCCTAATCGCTATCTTCTGGTGGACGCCGGTTCCCTGCTGGCAGCATCTCGTCGAGTTGTCAGAATTGCCCTATCGGCGGGGCTCGCAGGGCTCCCGGTCATACAGGACAACTGTGCGAAGGTCGGTGATAGTGGTTCGTAGCTTCCGAATCAGCGAGAAGGACGGTGGTATTTTGTTCTACCAGACAAGAGATGTGCTTCTTTGCAGAAATCAGAATCGTCACACATCGAGATCTTGGCAATTCGCCATGCCCAGATGCAGATGCAGCCCCTGGACAACAAGCGGCGGTCGGTGGCGTCAGCGGTGGGAGTGGGGCAGTCACAGGGTAGTGTTAGGTAGCAGCCACTGGCTGCCGTCGTCGTCGTCGTCGTGGTGGTGGTGGTGGTCCCTAAACCCTCAACCCTTAAAGCCTTGAAGCCTAAAAGCCCTAAGCCCCAACCTAAACCTTTCGCTCCACGGAGCCTCCTTGTTAGCCCCAGCTTCTCGGGGGAGGATCTAAGGTTGAACCCATGGGCCCTTGATATGGGCCCTTAACCCTGGGATCCTTCTACACCTACTATAGCCCCCCTATATGTAGGGTCCCTAGAAAGGCCTAAGGGTCCATACTTCTAACCTCAGAGAGGATGCTCTACGTCACGCGGCGGCCTTCGCCCCGGGCGAGCGCGGGCTTAGGGGTGTGGAGGCACGGAGGTTTCGGGCCCTGGGATGGGGGTTTAGGCCTAGGGCTTAGGGCTTTTAGGGTTTAGGGTTTAGGGTTTAGGGTTTAGGGTGGAGCACAAATTGTGGCGAGGATTGGGGCTTGAGATTCTGGTGCTTGGAGTTCTGCGTGAGCCGGACTCGAATGATCTAAGAGGGGTGTGCCCGGATCCAGCGAAGAATGCCGGAATAGCCGGGCCGCCTATTTCTTTCCTGAGGAACATCTTCAACGCCATCAACGTCTTCGCCGTTGGGGCCAATGTTGGGCTTTTCACGGTGTTCTTCTATCCCATGAGCACGTATCCCTTCGGCATGCAGCTGATCTGCTTCATCATCGCAGAGCACGCCGTGCTTCTCCTGCAGGCCGGGATCCAATTCGTGATTCCGGCAAGGCCGGCAGACGTGGTGTCCATCGAGTACTACAACAAGCATGTGAAAAACCACCATCAGCTCACCGAGGTGGGTCCGAATGCGCGGACGTCTCTGAACCACATCGCCCTCCCCCTTGTCCCAGATGGAGCCCAGGCGAATTCATCGGGAAGTGACAACGACTGTACAGACGGCTGGTGTTAACGAACTGCCTGTGGCAAAGCTCCATATCGTTTCAGAACGCTTACGGTAGGATCTTGGAAAGAGTGTTCCTACAATCAGAGGACCTTGCTCCACCTGGATGCGAGAGGCGAGAAGACTTACCATGTGACACCTGCTTGCCGACTGTTTCGGGATGCCTTCGCGTGAGACTCCATCGCCGGTGCACAGGGGATCACGACTCATACGTTCACATTGATTCCCCCCCAAACCCTAAACCCTGAACCCTAAACCCTATAGGCATCCCTCAGTTCGGGAAGACAGGCCCGTGCAAGCCCGAACCGCCGCAAACCTGCTCGGGCTGGAGCTCCAGATCCGAAGAATCTCCCTACCTAAGCCATGGCTTCGCAGAGCCAAAGTCTCTCATTCTGCGACCCTGTTCCCGCCGCCCACAGCAGGTCCAGTGGGTGGCGGAAGCCCACGGTGGTGAGGCAGCGGTACCTCGGCCATGATTAGAGTCTACAGGGGTCCGAGGATTTGCGGATTCCGTCGTTTGCGCATCAAGGCTTGGAAGCCGAAATAGGAGGTGCCCAAATCAAGAAACCTTTACGATTCGTTCTTTAACACGGATTCGCCGCCTGTTCTTACTTGATCGAAAAGCATGAGGCCCGAGGCCAACTCGGAAACCCGAAGTTCCGGGGCCCTGGCCCCCAAACACGGAACCCTAAAGCCTAGGGTTTAGGGTTTAGGGTTTGGGGTTTAGGGTTTTAAAGCCTAAACGCTGAAACCTAAACCCTAAAACGGTAAACCCTGAACCCTAAACCCCAAAACTCCCTGGACCCTAAACCCTAAAACCTAAACTCCTCAACCCTATAAAGCCTAAACCCTAAAACCTAAACCCTCAACCCTAAACCCTGAACCCTAAACCTCCCCAGAGCCCCATGTCGTGCGGAGGCTTGACTGCTTGGATCCCTACATCCACCCCTCACCCTCAGCCTTAAGCCCTCAACATTCCCAAGCCCTGAAGCCCTAAACCCTCGTAAAGTGGGTTCTACTGACCTAAGACTAGCGAGGTGGAAGAAGGTGCTCAAAAAGAAAAACCCTCAAAAACGAAGACCCGAAAAGAAAAAGACCAAAGCAAACCTCCGAGTCGGACTACAGGTCTGCTCCTCCCCCGAGACCTTCGAAGACCTCGCTGCCTTGCTTGGAGTGCAGCCTGCTCTCTTGGAGGCTTGCTGCAAGGGCTCCCAGACAAGGTTTCCGTAGGGTTTCTTTACGGCTTTCTTCAAGGGTTCCTCAAAGAGGGTCTCTTTGAGAGTTACTGACAAGAAGAGTTCTTGGAGGGCTCCTCCTACAGACGGGTTTCGCAGAGTTTCCTTACGAGTTCCTGTAAGGGCTCCTGGAATCTGGAAGGGTTCCGCCAAGGGTTGGTTGCTATTTTTTTTGGTTATTGTTTCTTTATCCTTTTCAATTTTCTTTGACGCTTGTCTTTGCTTTGTCGTCTTTTCTGACTTCTTGGTGGTGGGCGGCGAGGGAGGTGAAGGTCCGGCTCATTGTCCTTTCATCCTGAGCCGAATGCATCCGACGGCCTTCTATCGCCTCTAAACGCTAAGCTCCCAAGCGTTTAGGGTTTAGGGTTTAGGGTTTAGGGCTTTTGCTTCAGTATTCAGGGCCCTGCCTCCCTGCAGTATCTGTACTGCGACGAGATCCCAGGACCGAGCTATTCGGTGCGGGGCTCGAAGCTTCGTCTCTTTCCGTAAAGGTCAACTCCAAACCCTAAACCCTAAACCCTAAACCCTAAACCCTAAACCCTAAATACAGCTCTACCAGCTCCCTCGAGCCCGAAACGCGGCGACTTTGCATTTCGAACTCCTGGGCTCATGTCCACGGAAGTGCAGGTGGCACTCAGCACCAAGAAGCGGAAGATGCATGGAACTTAGTGCCATGTGGGTGCGATCTGGAGTGATGGATCCTTGAGCCCAAAGGTTTAAGAATTTAGCCTATCCCCAGGTCATCGTCAAACGAGTTCCTGACATAAATGCTGCATTGTCCTGTGCACGTTGCAGTATTTTCGTCGATGCCCAGAATATTTGTACATACATGTATGTCTGTATATATATATATAATATATATATATATCTCTCTCTCTCTCTCTCTCTCTCTCTCTCCCTCTCTCTCGATAGATACGTCTCTTTTATAAATGCATGTCACATGTAAGTATACGTGCAGCTGCTACTGCTACTGCTCCTGCTACTCTTTCTGCCACATCACTGCTGTTGCAACTGCTGCTGCAACCCCTTAGCTACTGATGCCGGTGCCAGCAAACAAGACAGTAGCAGTAGCAACCTTGGCGAGACAAGACAACATGATCCACAACAATGAAGAGTAATGACGCTATCTAGGTTCATAGTGTTGCATCCTATGCTTTGGTAGCCGGATCGTGGGTTCGGCATCTTGTTCAATTATACGGGAGATTCCGCAACTGGGGGTCCATTCGAAAACGGCGAGCATTGAGTTGTGGAGTGCATAGGGTCCTTCTTGAAGGAAGGATGGCCTGAAAGGGCTCCGTCCCCTTCCTCGCTTGAAGCCACGATAAGAACCCTGCAGAGTTGTCGGACTATAACATGCCATAATCTACTACAAGATACCCTAACATAGGCCATAACATAGTTTAGTTTAGACCACAATATGCTACACCCTGTTACAACAATCTTTCATATGCTTTGATCTACTATAATACACAAGAGTATATTGTAACATACGATAGTGTATTATCACATACTGTAATATGCTATAAATACTATAAATACTATAAATACTAAAATACTATAAATACTATAAACACTAGACTATAAATACTATAAATATTATAAATACTATAAATACTATAAGTATTATAGGTAGAGTCAGAGGTTCGGGCTCCAAGGAAACCCTGTGGGATGCCCTGGCTTCAGTCAGGCCGCGGGGCTCCATCGTCTCCTCTCCACTCACGTGGGGACCCTCGAGTTTCGGGCTTCGTAAGGCTTGAGGCTTCGAGTTTAGGGTTTAGGGTTTAGGGTTGATGTTTTAGGGTTCAGGGTTGAGGGTTTAGGGTTTAGGGTTGAGGGTTCGGGATTAGGATTCAAGGTTTCTGCTGGTGGGCTTGCAGGTTGGGGGGCTTGGGTGGGCTCGGGTTTAGTGGCATGTCAAGCCTCTCTGAGGTCTAGTCTGAGGCCTAGCAGGTTCGGTCCAACCCTGCGGGCAGTTCAACAATGTGCCGGCAAGTAGTGTGACTATTGGCCGTTCCCCCCGGGAATTCCTAAACCCTAAACCTAAACCCTGAACCCTGAACCCTGAACCCTAAACCCTAAAACCCTAAACCCTAAACCCTACACCCTAAACCCTAAACCCTGAACCCTAAACTGTTCTTCTTTGGCCAAGGCCTAACCAGGCTGCGGAGCTGACCCAGTCCATCGCGCGGTCCTTGTACGAGGCCTTCGGGTCACACTAATATGGGGGCCTTTATAATCTGAATAGGGTTTGGGGGTATCTAATACTATAATTATAGTTTGGGGGTATCTTATACTATAATTATAGTTTGGGGGTATCTTATACTATAATTATAGTTTGGGGGTATCTTATACTATAATTATAGTAAGGAGTCCCCCCTATTCTAATTATTAAGGCCCCTACATTAGCAGCATGAGCTGGGGAGTAAACAGGACCACAGCACTCGCAACACTGGTCGTTGGGCTGTCGCGAAGCGCAGCTCATGGGGCGTGCTGCACTCTTTGTGGCGGGGCCCGATGGAAGAAGCACGAAGAAGCAGACTACGTGCTTTATTGGAGATCATACCTTGAAGCTTGGCGCAGGGGTAGGCTTAGGTTGTGTCAGTGCCTCGGACCTACGAGCAACACTGACATCTACGTCACCTCCTGGCGTTTTCGGCTCTCTCCGAGTCGCCGACGACCTTCGAAGCTGAGATGGCCAGACGCTTCTGTTGTTCCCTAAGTGGAGTTAACTCGTGCGTCTGCGAGGCCTCGATAGGAGCACAGGTGTGCCCGAGGGTAAAGTTTTGGTATGCCATGAACTCACATTACAGCATTTTTCTTTTCTCCCGGGGAGTGGTGTTGTGACATCTGTCATCGCAAGAGTTGGATGACATCCGCTGAGCAGTCCTCGGCACAGCGCTGGCTTGGATTTGAAGTATGTGTTTGCTTGTGCAAGATACCCATGCGTGCATACTTGCACCGTTGTCGAGCCCTTTTGGAACCCTTTTGGAGGCACTCTTCCTTTGGGCCGTGCGTCTGATCAACACCCGCAGCCGCGGAGGTGCGCCCTGGGGCTTCAGTTTCCTCAAAAGGTGACTTCTATACAGGGTGCTCTGAAGGTTCCATAAAGGTTCTTCAGGTCTCAAGCGGGTGTTTCGGGGTTTGACATGGTTCTGTACGGGCTTTGAAGGGGTTCTTCTGCAAAGGTTTCAGTTCAGAGGGTTTACAGGGGTTTTGGGAGGGTAACACAAAGGTTTGAGGGGGTTCTGCTGTAACGGTTTCAAAACGGTTCCAAGAAGCAGACGGAGTGCATTCTGGAACTATCATGACCATGAAGAGCAAGACAGACCAGTAGTAGAACCAGGCGGCTTGTCGTGATTTCCGCAAGAAAGGTGCCTTTTGGGCGTTAAGGCAAGCATTGCGAAAAACCTCGGAGGTGCGGCCACGTCGCCGAATCTGCCGCCGCCGGCTCGGGAGGGCCTGCAATCCTGTTGGGCTCAAGGGTGTTTACCAAGCTCGGGCCACTCTTTGACGCCTTGGACCGTATCCATCTGGAAACCCTTGCTGCAGAGCTTCAGGTGTAAGGGTTCTCAATTTTCTCAGCCACCTCGCTGCACTGAGGTTTGCTGGCGTCTTGGACATTTTTGGTTTCGAGGCATAGTCTTGGGCTTGCAGGGGTTCAGTCGGGTTTAGGTTTTGGCGTTTGGTTTATGGGGTTTGACGCTTGACTCGTTTTGTGAGGAGGGGCGGGGGGAGGTTTTACCATAGTGAGACAGACGTGATGACGCATCATACATTGCGCAGTAAGCTGCAGATGAAGCCTGCGAAGCCTCCGAGTTTAGACTGAGCTCTTGGAGAAATTGTGATGGTTGTTGTGGTCTGACAGCCCTGCTTTCGCCAAAGAGGCTTTCAAGCACAACTCGCTGGAGCAGCTCTTCATCAACTACTGCAACGAGCGCCTGCATCAGCCCTGGCCTAAGCTCGGAGGCTGTGCTTGGAAGGTTGCCGCTTTCAGCTGTGGCTTGCCACAGGGACAGGCTGGAATTTCGACCTCCTGTGACGGTCGCCGGCTGAC